TGGCTCCAGGAAGGTCCCCAGGACGAGCCTGTAACCTGCCTCCTCTGCCGTCCATGGCCCATTGCGATCTGATCGGCCCCGTTCGGTGAATATCGGCGTCCGCTGGCCCGACCCAGTCCGGCGCGGTCGGAATCCGACTCGACCTCGATTCCGAGCAGATGTTTCCCGATCCGATGGTCGTAATAATCATATCCGAGTTTTTAATGCGATGTTGATTGATATGTTTCTCCTCCGTTGCCCTCTTGCCCGTCCCTCTCATCCCCCCTCTTCCTGCTTCCCATGCCTCTCGTCCTCCTTTGCCCTCCCTCTCTCCTCGCCCTCCTCCTTTTCCGCCCCTCCTGCTCCTGCTTCCGCTGCCCCTTCTCCTCCTGCATTCTCCTCTTCCTCGCCATTGGCTACAATTCCTCTTTGTGCTTGCAGTCCCCCCCTGCTTCCCCTCCTCCCCCCTTCCCATTCGAACTCAGACCACCAGCAGGGCGAGGAAGAGGAGGAGGAGGCGGGGTAGCTGAGGAGGAGGATGAGAAAAAGGCGGAGAATAATGAGAGGAGGAGGCAGGAGGAGGAGGAGGAGGAGGAGGATGAGGAGAAGGAGGAGGAGGAGGAGGAGGAGGAGGAGAGGAGGAGGAGCAGGAGGGGGAGGGGTAATTAGTTGAGGGGAAGGAGGGGGAAAAGGAGGAGGAGGAGAAGAGGAGGAGGTGGAGGAGGAGGAGGAGGAGGAGGAGGAGGAGGAGAGGAGGAGGAGGAGGAGGAGGAGGAGGAGGAGAGGAGGAGGAGGAGGAGGAGGAGGAGGAGTGCAGACACGGGAGTAGGAGAGGACGATGGGGAGCCTCGGGAGCAGCCTCGCCGCACGGAGTTCCCCCGCCCTTGCGCTCCAGTCTACTCGCGCATCGAGGACTGGGGGCAGCTGCACCCACTGGTGCCCTCGTCGTCGTCACCCTTCTCGCCGTCGGCCTCCTCTGCTTAACCGCCGCTTTCCGACGCCTCGGCGCTCCCTCTCGCCCTCAGTCACGACCCTGTTGGTCAGGACCACGCTTCATCCGCAGCCGCGCTTCGACGATCCTGGTGCCCAGAGAGGGCCCCAAGAGGCCGATCATTTACGTGTGTGTCAGTCGTCCGTATCTACATATCCCAATACACTGGAGGTTTCGGGATCTTCCGTGCTCCTCCCTCCTCCCGCTCCGTTGGTCCTTCCTCTTCCTCCCTATGCTGCTTCGACGCCTCCCTCCTCCCACCAATCTCTCTCTCTCTGTCTCTCTCTCTCCCTTTCCCCCCGCCCCTCTCTCTCCCCCTCGCTCCTCGCCCGCCATCCCTCCTCCCTCGCTCCCTCTGTTCGCCCTCGCTGTTCAACCTTGGCAACTGGCAGCTTCTGGCTGAAGACATTGCCGCTCTGTGCCCAGAGGTTCGACGATACGTCGTTTTCACCATGTGGCCCCAGGGGTCCCGACCTTTTCCCCATGGGCAGGCTTTCGTCCCGGATTCATGTTGATGACCCTGCAGTTCTTGAAGGCCTCGCCTGGAGGCCGAAGTGAAGGAAGATGGCCTTGATCTACCAACAAGTCAAGTCTTCGGATGTCCGGAGCGCGCCCCGCGAGGCGAACATGGCTTTGTTCCCGGGAGACGAACGTATCTTTGCTCTTGGGGCACGCCCAGAGACAAGCGGATTCAATATCGGGGGGCCATCGCCGATTTATCACTGAGCTGGCCCCCCACTGTTGTGGTCCCTCACCGAGAATCGTGGGCGAAAAACATGTCCACATCCGCGGCCTCGCGGGCCAAGCCCTGAGGCCGCGACCCCGCGGATACGTTTTTTTTTGTTCGCCGATGTCTTGTGCGGAACGTATCCGTGCAATCGCGCATTCGCGGGATCGCGCCCCGGAATCCTGATTGCGAGGGCGCGGATGTAGATATGTTCGTTGCGTGTGAGTTGCCCTTCCCGAGAGAGTTGGAAGCAGGAGACGCACCACCACACCCGTCTGGGGGGACTCAGGACGAGCTGTTATGCGGGATGCAGGATCGATGTCTGCAGTCGAGAACTATGTAGCGCTGCGTTAAGTCTCGAGACTTGGCAGAAGGGCCGACCAGAGCAGCAGAGCAGTCGCAGGTGTGGATGGTGTCTTGGGAGAGCGCCCGAAACGATGTACACCACCACCACCACCACTACATTCAACGCGCCTAGTAAGGACGCGCGCCTTCATCTAGGTTACCCTTGTGTCCTTGCCTCCGAGGCTCGTCCTTGCCATTATCGCTGGTCGCCCGCCGCCCTAAAATCCCAACTTCGGCCTCCAAGGGTCTTGCGTCCTTATCACCCGTCCTTAATATACGTTTTGACTGTACCACCACCACCACCACCACTACCACCACCTTCTGCCTCCATCCTCTGGGCGGGTGTGGCGGTGCGCTGCCTGCCCTCTCTCGAGAGATCATCGAGGCTACGAAAGAGCCCCCGGACCCCAGTGGCGGAGTGAAGACGTGGCCTCACGTAGGTCTCCGCCTTTGTATTAGGGATCGCAGAGTTGGGCGATTTGAGTTGGTACATCGGCAGAAAAAAAAACCCTTGTCCCTGATGTTTCTGGGCCTCCCGATTGGGGTCCCCTCGCAAAGGGTTATCAGAGAGTGAGTTACCTACCCCACTTTCGCTTCCAGAGAGAACCAAAAGTCGTACCACGCGCCTCCTCATCCAGCGGCCTGATATGGTGCGGCCGTAGCTTGGTATCGTTTGGTATCTTTTGGAAGCGAGGGTGGTCCAAAGCGAGGTAGGTTCGTTTGCCTCCTAGGATTGCGGCCCCTTCTACTTCTAGTCGGGAGAGGCGCCCACGGATGCCTCGCGGCTGGGGCTGGTCCCATGTACGTCCCCGCATGTGCATCAGGGACCATAGGGCTGGGCGGTCTGGCCTGATACATCGGCAGAATCAGACCCCTTGTTCGTAATGTTACTGGCCCTCCTAACCTAGGTCCCATCCCGAAGGGTTAGGGGTCCCTTGTTGCGATGAAGAAACAACGCCACAACCATAGACGTGTGGCGCTCCGCGCGAGTTTCTTGGATCCGCGCTGGGTCCCCCCAGGGGCGCCTCCGGCGCCGCCCCTGGCGCGCTCCGCGCGCCAGGGATAGAGGTCCAGCGCAGATCCAAGACATCCGCGCGGAACGCCAAAAGTTTACCTTCATGGCGTTCTCCCTCCTTCTGTCAGTGTCGCTGGTCGAGAGAGGCGCCCATGGACGCCTCGCGGCTGGTGCTGGTGCACTCGGACCCCGCCGCGTGGCCCCAGCCCCGCGGGGCCCCACCGGCAGACGCGACGCGAGGGGGAGCGGGGCGGGCCGTCGGCCGGTCGGCGGGCCGTGCGGCCGGCCGTGCGGCGGGATTTGGGCCTCCCAGGTGGGGTCCGAGGCCGTGGTCGGGGGCGAGAAAGGGTACCCAGATTCCGAAGAAGAAGCAGCGCCATGAGCAAAAGCTTTTTGGCGCTCCGCGCGGGTTTCGGTGAAACGATGCTCATCCCAGAGGGGGTCAGAGTCTCGGCGGGTTCGGTCGGAGCTAGCCAGGACTCTGGTAATGGGAGCCGATTAGTGACTTGGGCCCCGAAGCCAAAAGCGTGAGCGAGAAACACCAAGAATCGGATGTGCCGTAGCCAGCATTTTTTCCGGTGGCAGCAGTTCTGGTAAGCATCCATCGGTCGCAACGTGAGCTTCTCGGATGACGATGGGGGCATCTTCCAGGAGGAGAAACACACACAGAGGCGACCAATCGTCGATTCCCCAGAAAATATGGGAACATATGGGAAATGGGGGGAAGACGATAAGCCAACAAGTTTTGAAAATGATGATTGGGAATCCTTGGACTTGTGTGTACATCTTTGTGCGCGTAAGACCAGTTCGTTCTGCCGCTCATTTGGTGGGCCTCTATAGAAGGAGTGCACCCCCGCCGGGCCCAGGCTCTCGAGGCTTTGGGGGGCGTCCTCTGCCGCCCTCGGCTCTCTGGTCCAGCCTCGGGGTGCGCTCCACCAGTCCGGCGTGAGGTCGGGCATGTCCTCCTAGAGGCGGATCTTGGACGAAAGGTAAAGGAGAGAATTAAACCAGAACAATAGTTACATAAGCAAGCATAATCAAAACGTCTTCCCCGACGATGTGTTTCTTGCTCACTATGTTCGAGTGTTCCTCTTGTGTAGAGGGACATGCCCGACTCGAGCCCGGTGCCGCGCCCGGGGGGCGTCTCTTCCCGGGGGGCCTGAAGAAGAGCGCCCCGGGGGCGGTTGCCGGAGCCCCGAAAGGTCTTGGCGCGGGAGCCGGAGGTAAGCTGTGGGGCGCGGCGTTCGGGGGCGCGGGTCTCAAGCAGTGGCGAAGCGTCCCGTCTCGCCTATAGCCCTACCAAACAATGCTCTCAGAACCTTTTGTGCTTCCCACGAAATGTTCTTAGAACATGTTTGGTTGGGACTGTCTTGTTTTATCACATCGGGTTCATGTTCTAAGAACATTGTTTTTATTCTTAGAACATTTTTGGGTTGTAAGAATATTTCGTGGTAGGACTATAGGAATGCCGGCACGGTCGGTCCCTGCTCAATTTCGGGGGCGCGGGTCGGAGGAGCACCGAAGAAGGATCGGGTATAGCCAGGACCCCAGGTAAGAGGACCCGGTTCGTATCGAATCGGGCCTGTTTTTCTACAGGGGGAACACTCAAACGTGCTCAAATAATACAGTTTTTTGGCCCACGAAGGTAAAGCTGACCCACCCACCCCTTAACTCCCTCATTTTGTTTTCTCCCGTGTCCATAGGATTTGATTGTGGAGAGGGGCGCGGAGGCCGAACTTGATAATTCACGGGGGAAGTTGCGAATCGAAGTTGCTATATTTCATGTTGACGAGCAACATCATCAAAAACGCTGGGCATTGCCATGGCGGTCGAGCCGAAGCACGCCACCTTCGAGGAAGCACGCGATGGCGCCCAGGCATGCACCAAGGGCCTCCCGTGCAATGGCGGCTCCAAAGGATGCCGAGCCTGCATGGGCGAGTGGTTTTAGGCCGTGCGCAAGAGAGGTGTCTTGGCCAGGAGCGCCAAGGACCTTTTTTGCGCAGGCAAGTTGTAGCCACGAGCCTCGAGTCGGTCTTGTGCCAAGATCTACAAGGTCAGTCTACACGAGCGCCCAGCCAAGATCATCATCATCATCATCATCATCATCATCATCATCATCATCGTCAGCATCATCAGTATCATCATCTTAACCTAACTAACATCACCTTCCCTGGGAACATCGTTGATTATCCCCGCCGGACCCCCGAACTTATATCATCCCACGGGGATTATTATCGTGAGCGCGCGGCTAGTCTGGGGACGATGTGGTGCATTTGTTTTGACAATTGTGGAGGTTGTGTGGGATTTTTTTTTTTTTTTTTTTTTTTTTTTTCAAAATCCCCCTGTGGGGGGGCACGCCCGACTTAAAGTTTGTAGTAGGGTTCGGGAGCTCCGACATTGGCCAGGATCATTAAACCTGGTTTGCCGTATAGCTGGTGTTTTTTTCGGGCGACGCCTTTTCCGGTCGGTGGAACAGGGCGGGTACACATCACTAAACCAAAAAATTCGGCCAACGCCCGAAAGGAGGGAGGAGACGCGGGAGCAGTGGCGAAGCGTTCCGGTTCGTTTGGGGGCCCATCAAAGAGCATGTTTTGAGAGCCGTTTTGTGGCTTGCGCGGGACGTTCCTTAGAACATGTTTGGCTGGGGCGGTCTTGTTTTAACACATCGGCTGTATGTTATTAGGCCAGTGCTCGGTTCTAAAAGCATGTCGTGGCAGGCCTGTAGGAATGCTGGGGCGGTCCTGTCCCTGCTCATGAGGATATAAGGGAGACGCCACCACCTGGGGTGCCACCCCGTGCGAGGAGGTCCACGATGGCTCTCTGAGCTGGGATAGGGCGCCTCGAACGGGGAGGGGGGGACACCACCAAGAAGGCCCCCCCGAGCTCTTGCGCTGCTTGGTGGTGTCGCGTTTTCTTCTCTTACCCTGGGGGTGGCCAAACTCAACACGCAGGCCGCTACTGAAACATTGCTTGCCGCGGTCGGCAAGCCGCGGACGAAGAAACGCTCATAGCGTTTTCTCTTTAGTACCGCTTGCAGCCGAAGCGGACAGGGCAGGTCAAGGGTCGAGGTTTTTGAGCGCCTTGTTGGAGCCTCGGGGAGACTTCTCGTTGCCACGGCAAGGGGTTGCCTTGCAGTCCTGGCCGGATACACCCAAGAACAAGCCTAGGTTCGGGGGACCGATTTAGACCCCAGACCTCCACAGACATCTGGCCACCTTGGGCCTTGGGAGCCCGTTTTGAGCCTCGGGGCCGCCAGAATGCACACACGCACACACGTCCACCCCTCTCGGAGCCGATCGCCCAGGACCTCGGGATGCAGCGGATGAAAGCGTACTTTCGGGGCCCAGGGCCCAGAGGTGCGCACACGCACATCCACTGCACCCGAGGTCCCTGGGAGATTTTTTTCGAAGTGGTGGATAATACTGGAGGTATACAGTTACCACCCAGAAAGATAATTCGCGGGGCGGATTTGGCGGAGCAGTGTCTTCAGCGCCGGGTCAAGCCGCAACACAAAGATTATTCAGACGGAAGGGCCCCACATGAGAATATATTTAGTCTGCCCTTCGGTTTTCCTCTTCGCCCTGGTGGAGACAATCCTCCCGCCCCCCGTTGCGCCTACCCCTCATCCTCCTCGTCCTCCGTCCCTCCGTAGTATCGTCTTCCCGGTTCCATGTTTTCTCCTCCTCCTCCTCGTCCTCCTCCTCCTCGTCTTCCACCTCTTCCTTTTTCTCCCTCTCCTCATCTCCGTCCACCTGTTCTTCTCATGCACCTCTCCTCCCTGCACCCTCGCCGCCACGGCCAGAGGGGGCGCATTCTCCGATGATTGGTGGATGTTTCCGACGACCCGCTCGGATTACCAACGTGAAGTGCGGGCCCCTTAGCATAGGGATGGGGCCCCTGCCTGAGACTTCCTTTCAATTCGCTCACAGACAAGGCCCCCTTTTCGAGACATCCTCACGATTTGCCCCCTTGGGGTGCTCAAGTGCTATGCCCGCCGCTCGGATCCGAGCATGAATTGCAGTCCCCACAGGGAGGGGTTTCCCGCCTGAGACTTCGTTGCAGTTCATTTCACACACGAGGCCCCCGCTCGAGACATCTTCACGATTCGCCCCCCCCCCCCTCCCTGGGCCGCTGCAGTGCGATGCATGGTGGATTATTCCGATGACCCGCTCGGATTTGAACATGAAGGGCGGGCCCCATAGGGAGGGGGCTCCCGCCTGAGGCACCCTCGCATGCCACTTACACACGAGGACCCTGCTGGAGACATCCTCATGATTTTCCCGTTTGGGGTGCTCACATGGTATGCATGGTATAACCTCTAGGGCCCATAGGGAGGGGGCTTCCACCTGAGACGCCCTCGCAATTTTCTCACTGACAAGACTCCCGCCTGAGACTTCATGTAGATTCAAGCTTGAAGTGGCCAGAAGTAATGACATATTCAGAATTCCGATGGCCCGCTTGGATCAGTAACATGTCCTGTGGGCCCCATAGGGAAGGGGGCTCCCGCCTGAGACTTTTTGCGAGTCACAGACGAGGTTCCCGCCCTAGACATCCTCCATGTTCACGCTTCAAGAGGCCAGACGTGACGACAGTTACATGATTCCGAGGACCCGCTCGGACTAGTAACATGAGTTGCGGGCCCCATAGGGGGGGGGGGGGGGGGGGGGCGGGCTCGGGTCTGAGACTTCCTCGGAAGTCACTCACAGACGAGGCTCCCGCTTGAGACCTCCTCCATACTCAGGTTTGAAGAGGCCATCAGTAACGACAGTTGCAGGATTCCGATGACCCCTTCGGATTAGTAAAATGAGCTGCGGGCCCCACAGGGAGGCGACTCCCGCCTGAGACTTCCTCGCAAGTCACTCACAGACGAGGCTCCCGCTTGGTCGATGACATGATGGGATGGTGATAGTGATGACGATGGTGGTGTGCGGTGGTGTTGGTGATGGTGATGTTGATGATAGCCGATGACCGTGACAGGATCATGACATGATGATTAGTTAGTGGGAGATGTGTAATTGTTAGTAAGTGAGAGAGTGAGTGGATGATGGTGTATTTGATGATCCTGATGGGATGGTGACAGCGATGATCATGGTGAGTGAGATTCTGGCTATGATGGTGATGGTGATGAGGAGGAAGAAGGGGGTTGGGGTGTGAAGTTCTTGCGAAGGAGACTTGCGTAGACAACATTAACCCCACTTAGGACGT